TTTTTTTCTCCTCAAATAGAATGAATCTTTAATGATACCTTGGAATGAGGCATTAATTTTATAAATGCAAAATATTGAGCATTCTTAGAGTAATGCTGCCATTTATAATCAAAGGAAATACTAGAAAACTCAAGATTACAGCTTTTGCTGTAGAAAATTAGTATTTTTTTAGGAGGTTAAAAACTGACAAACTTTCCGGTATATTATATACCGATCGCGCCCCTAAAGAGTTAAAATACTCTTATTTTAATAAGAAGAAAAAAATAGTTTTAAAAAGAAGAAGAGAAATAGTTTTAAAAAATGATAAACTATAAGCTATTTTATAATTAATGTATCAATCATGAAGCCAGGTCTTTTAAAAATTCCAACTTAAGGGTTAAAATTACAATCCCTTTATACTTATCATTAAAAAAAATGCTTACTTAAGACTGGGCAGTTTCCTCCACATAGCAAGAACCATTAATAAACTGCATACTAGCCATTTTTTATCCAAATATATGATCAAGTTTTAATATTTTGGCACTTATACATTAAACTAATCTTTTTTAACCTTTAGTGATTTTGGATGAGATACTGACGAAGTATATTAACATTTTAAGATAAGTAAAAAATATTGTCAAGAATTTTTAGATGATTAATATCAATACAGCTTTTAGTATTACATATTATCACATCAGTCGAAAAAACATCACCAAAGCGTGTATCGTTAATTAGCACCATTTATGGATAAGCATGTCACACTCATAACATCTGCACTTTTTGTTTCATATAATCTGACTGATAAGCTATCTTTTGTTTCTAAGAGCAAGGATAAATTAACAGTTACTGACAATTTTTACCCCCTGCATTTTTTTCTCGAGATGGAGGGGGGATTAAAATGAGGCACCTGTCTTCTACATAGCAGCAAGTAGTGGATTACATTTAAAAACCATTAAAAAGTTCTTGTTAAGGGCATGATACGGTCAGCTGAATCTGGCTGACATAACAATAATAGACTGCAACATTACTAGAAGTTTTTTATTCAAAATATTCTAAACAGAGAGTTCAGTAAAACCAGCGAATCTAACCGAATAGCAGAAATTGACAAAAGCCATTGGTAAAAGTTTACAATCAGGTATCCCTGTTTTTTTGGCGATTCTTTTTTAATTCCATATCGGCGCAGCAAAGGCACATTTCATGATGGCTCTAGCAAAACCAAATAAGAAGTCAAGGAATGGCACAAACTATTTTCACTTTAAAAACATCAGAAATTACACCACTGTCTTTACTTTGTCCATGTACATCCTGGATCTCGTTTCACTAAAAAGCCAGGAAGCTAAAACCAAGTTAAAACTATCATGGTAACCAATGGCATTTCATCACCAAAATCGAACAAAATTTGTCACCAATTGAAGGAGCACCCACTTTTACACTAGAGCCGGACCCCTTTGCAAAGTGTAAAAGTAAAGCAGATTGAATATCAATTGTTTTATTATATAAAGGAACATCCATTCTTTCAAAACTCTGTAAACAAAAGTTTCTATTAGGCTCCTGACACCATGCTTCTAGGGCGCAAAAGAGTTCTCACGTTGTATAGTTGCGAATTCCAGACAATAGTAAGCTGCCCGAGTGTCCGGATCCGTTCTCACCTGTAGTAACAATTGGTGCAAGATTTCCACCAACTTTCACAGTCAATGGGATGATAACACGCAGATATCATGTTTATTGTTTAAATTTTTTAATGCTAATTGTACAATGCCAATTATCCAGTTAGGAAAAATTCAAAAGTTTTATTGCAATTTTCATTTCTTCCAATATTACATTAGCTCTATTACCACACATAAAAAAATATAATTACTTTTTTTCAAATAAGTTTTCAAATATCCATTCAAATTTAAAACAGTTATATGCAGGTACTACGTTTCAGCAACAGTGGCTTTCTAGATCTAAGCTTTAAGTTAGATATAAATCCAAAGAGTCAGATATAATTTAACAAAGGACTCATGCAAACCTCCTACACTCACCACTAGATATATCAGAGATGGCTTCATAGCTAGGACCTGCATTAAGCATTTTTCAGGCTGTGGGTCTTAAGTTCTTTACCAGTGCCTCCCTCCACTACATCCCCCCCCCCAAAAAAATTAGCCATCCCTACTTTTGTTACTGTGCTCAAATTTCTAAAGTTTTTTCCTGCCTTGCAGCTGCACCCCCTCTGGTGCCAGCCCTGTTTACAGGCGCAGTTTCACAGACATCACAGGTTCAAATGATGCCGAATTCGTATGGTTTTCATATGTTTGAAATTAAATCATAATATATTTTTTTCTGAATAGTCTGACATTTGTTGCAAATTTCTGAATGTTAGTTTGTACAGATTTTCAGTAAAAGGTGATTTATGAATATACGCTACAGCTGTCATATAAGTATGCTCATTATAAAAAACTAAACAAGAAAGATAAAACGAAAAATGTTTGGAATTATGAGTGCAGCTTAGAATGATTTTTGGTCACTAACATCCTATTATGAGGACTACCATTACAGAAGAAAGTACAAAAAAATATTATGTATTTAAAAAAAGGAATACCACTTCTAGTCGACGATTACTTGCTCCATCTCGAACTCTCGGAACACAACTCCACACCACAACCACACAACGAAACCACGATTCCATGAACAAAAGTGTCTCCTTTTAGTGCTAAGTCTTTCTGCTCGAAGGGGGCAAAATCGGTATAGTTTGAATTAAAGAATCTATATCCCCTAGAGTTTCTTTGATTCAGCATTCAAACTATACCGATTTTGCCCCCTTCGAGCAGAAAGACTTAGCACTAAAAGCAGACACTTTTGTTCATGGAATCGTGGTTTCGTTTGTGTGGTTTGTGGTGTGGAGTTTGTGTTTCCGAGAGTTCGAGATGGAGCAAGTAACTCGTCGACTAGAAGTGGTATTTCCTTTTTTTAAATACATAATATTTTTTGTACTTTCTTCTGTAATGGTAGTCCTTCATAATAGGATGTTAGTGACCAAAAATCATTCTAAGCTGCACTCATAATTCCAAACATTTTTCGTTTTATCTTTCTTGTTTAGTTTTTATAATGAGCATACTTATATGACAGCTGTAGCGTATATTCATAAATCACCTTTTACTGAAAATCTGATACAAACTAACATTCAGAAATTTGCAACAAATGTCAGACTATTCAGAAAAAAATATATTATGATTTAATTTCAAAACTATATGAAACCATACGAATTCGGCATCATTTGAACCTGTGATGTCTGTGAAACTGCTGCCTGTAAACAGGGCTGGCACCAGAGCTGGTGCAGCTGCAAGGCAGGAAAAAACTTTTAGAAATTTGAGCACAGAGTAACAAAATTTAGGGATGGCTAATTTTTTTGGGGGGGGGATGTTAGTGGAGGGAGGCACTGGGTAACAGAACTTAAGACCCACAGCCTGATAAAATGCTTAATGCAGGTCCTAGCTATGAAGCATCTCTGATATATCTAGTGGTGAGTTGTAGGAGGTTTGCATGAGTCCTTTGTTAAATTTATATCTGACTCTTTGGATTTATATCTAACTTAAAGCTTTAGATCTAGAAAGCACTGTTGCTGAAACATAGTACCTGCATATAACTGTTTTAAATTTGAATGGATATTCTGAAAACTATTTGAAAAAAGTAATTATATTTTTTTATGTGTGTGTAATAGAGCTAATGTAATATTGGAAGAAAATGAAAAATTGCAATAAAACTTTTGAAATTTTTTCCTAACTGGATAATTTGGCATTGTACAATTAGCATTAAAACATTTAACAATAAACATGATATCTGCGTGTTATCATCCCATTGACTGTGAAAGTTGGTGGAAATCTTGCACCAATTGTTACTACAGGTGAGAACGGATCCGGACACTCGGGCAGCTTACTATTGTCTGGAATTCGCAACTATACAACGTGAGAACTCTTTTGCGCCCTAGAAGCATGGTGTCAGGAGCCTAATAGAAACTTTTGTTTACAGAGTTTTGAAAGAATGGATGTTCCTTTATATAATAAAACAATTGATATTCAATCTGCTTTACTTTTACACTTTGCAAAATGGCTCAGCTCTAGTGTAAAAGTGGGTGCTCCTTCAATTGGTGACAAATTTTGTTCGATTTTGGTGATGAAATGCCATTTCTGGTTACCATGATAGTTTTAACTTGGTTTTAGCTTCCTGGCTTTTTAAGTGAAACTAGATCCATGTGTACATGGACAAAGTAAAGACAGTGTGTAATTCTCTGATGTTTTTAAAGTGAAAATAGTTTGTGCCATTCCTTTGACTTCTTATTTTGGTTTTGCTTAGGAGCCATCATGAAATTGTGCCTTGCTGGCGCCGATATTGGCATTAAAAAAGAATCGCCAAAAAAACAAGGGATACCTGATTGTAAACTTTTACCAATGGCTTTTGTCAATTTCTGCTATTCTGTTAGATTCGCTGGTTTTACTGAACTCTCTGTTTAGAATATTTTGAATAAAAAACTTCTAGTAATTGTTGCAGTCTATTATTGTTATGTCAGCCATATTCAGCTGACCGTATCATGCCCATTAACAAAGACTTTTTTAATGGTTTTTAAATGTAATCCACTACTTGCTGCTCTGTAGAAGACAGGTGCCTCATTTTAATCCCCCCTCCATCTCGAGAAAAATGCAAGGGGGTAAAAATTGTCAGTAACTGTTAATTTATATCCTTGCTCTTAGAAACAAAAGATAGCTTATCAGTCAGATTATATGAAACAAAAGTGCAGATGTTATGAGTGTGACATGCTTATCCATAAATGGTGCTAAATTAACGCTACACTGCTTGGTGATGTTTTTTCGACTGATGTGATAATATGTAAGTACTAAAAGCTGTATTGATATTAATCATCTAAAACATTTCTTGACAAATATTTTTTACTTATCTTAAAATGTTAAATATACTTCGTCATATCTCATCCAAAATCACTAAAGGTTAAAAAAGATTAGTTAATGTATAAGTGCCAAAATATTAAAACTTGATCATATATTTGGATAAAAAATGGCTAGTATGCAGTTTATTAATGGTTCTTGCTATGTGGAGGAACTGCCCAGTCTTAAGTAAGCATTTTTTTTTAATGATAAGTATAAAGGGATTTAATTTTAACCCTTAAGTTTGGAATTTTTAAAAGACCTGGCTTCATGATTGATACATTAATTATAAAATAGCTTATATTTTATCATTTTTTAAAACTATTTCTCTTCTTCTTTTTAAAACTATTTTTTTCTTCTTATTAAAATAAGAGTATTTTAACTCTTTAGGGGCGCATCGGTATATAATATATACCGGAAGTTTGTCAGTTTTTTAACCTCCTAAAAAATACTAATTTTTCTACAGCAAAAGCTGTAATCTTGAGTTTCTAGTATTTCCTTTTGATTATAAATGGCAGCATTACTCTAAGAATGCTCAATATTTTGCATTTATAAAATTAATGTACCTCATTCCAAGGTATCATGTTAAAGATTCATTCTATTTGAGGAGAAAAAAAAATCAAAATCTTCAAATATATGATGTACACATGCTGAACCCTATATATTTACTCCGTTTTAATCAAAATTAAGGTTAATCTTTGGATTATGGTAACTTTGGCGATTTTTTGGCGAAAATTTGGTGACCAACCCAGCTACAGCAACCTGCTAGTTTTTGTTTGGATGCCATTTTGTTTTTACGAAGTAAAGACATTTTTTTTTTTTTTAACTCAACATTTTTTTCCCAACAATCTGCTAGCCGAATGACGCTTATGCTAGAACTTTTATGGAACAAAAGTGCTTAATCATGACGAAGATTAGGTGCGAAACTGAGAGAAAGTGCAGAATCGCAAACTGCTTGCCGCATTTTTAAGAATTGCACATACACGGTATCCATGTACATGTCGACTTATTTTCACTAAAAAAAAAAATCCCAGAATTGCACAAAAATGGCATTGCGCACACTCTTGACTTTATCCATGTACACTGCTAAAGTCTTAGCTAGTAACCTTTATCGCCTTATCAAAATGTTGCCAAACTACCTGTTACCATATTCCAAAGATTAGCCAAAATGGATAGTTAAAAGATTATTTATACCCCTTTAATATAAAATATATCAGCTTCCATACTGAGGATACCTTACCAATATAAGGCAACACCAGGCTTCTTCTCTCCCTCCTCTGGGGGGGGGTGATATAATTTATTTATATTGTAATTGTTTGTGATGTAATATGATACAGTTGTTTTATGATTAATTTAAAAGTTGTTTAGGATTAAACATTATGTTCATTGGGAGAATGGGAAGTTTAATGACCCTTTGGTAGGAGTAAATAAAAGTATTTTAGTATCTTTTTGTACTTTGCTTACTCCAGTCGAGTTTTCATTCATCTTTGGTTAGCAAAAATTTCACGACTTTGCCATTCCCCCCGAGTAAAACTTGTGGATTTCAAAATTGTTGTTTGGCATCAAAATTTTAAAATGTTTTCCACAACCCTAGATAGAATACAGCGAAAATGAAAAGAGGTGATTGATGGCAAACTGTGTTATAATAAGATCACACGAAAGGGAAGCTGAAATACAAACACCTGAAATAGAAATTCTACTTATTTGTGACTACATACTTTTGTGTTTTAGGAGATTGTCTTTTTTAATTTCAGATGAGAGACTAAGGAACACGAGAAATTTTCCCCCTCGGTAAGGATACAAGCAGGCGGTTTTCAAAATAAGTCTTCACGGTTGATGAAAGCAGAGAAAATATTTCTAAGACCAGTTTTAAACACAGAACATTTATCATTGGAAGGGGAAAATGCGCTAGTTCCACAGAGCCCATGGGCCTGACAATGGGGGGGGGGAAGACTCAGAAGTATTTTAATACTTTACCTCCATCGAAGAGATATTCTTCCTGAGCAAAAGTATGTATTTACTACCTTATTTATCGAAAAGTTAAAAAAAGGCCCAAGGGGCTGAAAATCGAAATATGGGCTTTGAAGTCGATCAGGTTACAAAATCATTTAATGGCTTTTCTTCCTGAATGAAATGATGTATTACAACCTATATTTACAAAACGTTAGAGGGGACCTTTTAAGGGGCCCAATAATCATAAGTGCGTGTGGGGGTCTTGGTATCATAGCAGGAAGCACGTTCTTTTTATGTATTATCTAAAGCATAAAATATAATAACTTCAAAAATGTTACTTTAATTTTTCAGCTGAATGAATGGTAGTGTTTTTTCTCATCATAGTAATCATTCTCATTCATATTTTCTCATGTATTCATAATGCATTTTCTTTTGGATACATGGCATTGGGATTTGTAATGAATACCCAGTGTTGTCACTTTATTGATTGCAAAATTGCCTTCAGGCCATCTAATTACATGCCAGTACATAAAGGATGTTGCTGTGCACTCGTGTTTTTATTTGCATATCTGGTTTTTTTTTTTTTTTTTTGCAGGTATGCTGTGAGTGAATAATTAAATGCATTGAGGGACCTTGAAATTTATTGTTTGCTTTATTCTTTATTATTAGTTATTAAATTTTAAGATATTATTGAATAAAAAAGGTATGTTATAATTCTTTCATATTTTGAAAACATTATTTCGAATTTTATAGCTTTCAACACCGGACAATGACGAAACGTGTTGCACATTTGTATTGAAGAATGAAGATCACACCTTAGGAAACGCATTACGTTATGTCATAAGTAAAAAGTAAGCATACTAGCTTTTAATATTTATAAAGTTATTTATGTATGTTTCAGTATTTAATTTATCTATATATATATCCATTATATGGAATATTTGGTTGATCTTTGGATTATGGTAACTCGGCGATTTTTTGGCAAAAATTTCGTGACCATCGCTGCTACAGCAACCCTCTATTTTTTTTTTTCGCCGCCATTTTGTCTTCACGAAGTAAAGACATGTTTCTTTTCTTTTTATTTACTGAACACTCTTTCCAACAATCTACTAGCCGAATTACACTTATGCTAGAAATTTTATGTAACAAAACTGCTTAATCATGACAAATATTAACTTCAAAATTGGGAAAAAGTGCACAATCGCAAACTCCTTGCGCGTTTTTCAGAATAGCACATACACATAAACCATTTACACCTCGACTTATTTTTACTTAAAAAAACATCCCAGAGTTGCATAAAAATGGCATTGCACACACTCTTAACTTTATCCATCCTACACTGCTATTTTCTCATAAATTACAAAAATTTGCACGAAAATGCAAAAAAATTCTGTGAACCTTTAAACTCGGTAAAAAGCACATATATGAAATTACCTGATCGCGAAAAAGTATATACCCTTTCCAAGGATGAACATTTCCACGTATAAAATAAAAAAATATCCAAAAACTTTCACCTCTAAATTATCTATTATATTATAAACGTCACCAATGAATTCATACCGCAAACATTACAAATGGTTACAAATACTTAGTATCAAATATTTAAATTATTTCCATGCACGTTTACTTCAACTGTTACGTATACCAAATTCCTACAAACATAAAATTCACAAAATAACTCTCATTTAATTAAAATATCACTAAACCATATACACGTCAACTTATTTTTACTTAAAAAAACTCCCAGAATTGCACAAAAATGGCATTGCGCACACTCTTCACTATATCCATGTACACTGCTTTTTTCTCATAAATTTGAAAAATTTGATGAAAGCATGAAAATTTTGTGAATCTTTAAATCCGGTAAAAAGAACGTATATGAAATTACCTGATTGCGAAAAAGTACCGTATTTTTCACCGTATAAGACGCACTTTTTCTCCCCAAAATCAGGGGGGGAAGTGCCTGCGTCTTATGCGGCAAATACAAAAGCCCACCATGGCCCTCCGCTGCCCCTCCACCTCTGCATATATACCTTACCGCAGGAATACTCGGCCACTCCGTTCCCTTCCACCTCTTGGCGCCGTCTGAGACCAGGAAGCCCCGCTCTGCCTCGCACTGCATTTGGACGGTCTCTGCGATTGGCCGAGCGAAGAGGCGCGTGCCTTCGCTCGCTCCCGCGCTGGCTTTGTGCACTTTTTAGAGTCTCGTAAGCCAGCGCGGGAGCGGGTGAAGGCACGCGTCTCTTCGCTCGCCAATCGCAGTGCGGGAGCAAGCGGAGGTGCAGATAGCTGTGAGCTGTGATATATGTAGTATGGTATATCTGAATGAAATATATCATATTTCATACCACCCCATCAAGATGTCGAAGCAGAAGAGACTGGCATATAAGTTGCTTTCAAGCTGGAAGTAATAAATTTGCTAAGGAGCATGGAAACAGAGCAGCGGAGAGGCACTTTGGGCCACCTCCAACTGAGAAAATGATAAGAGAGTGGAGAAACAGGAGGATCAGCTCCAACAGTTGGATAAAAGCAAGCACACCTTGCATGGACCAACTGCAAAGTGGCCAGAGTTAGAGGTAGAAGTAAAGGAGTGGATCACACGTCACCGGCAAAATGGACTTTCTGTCTCAACAAAAATGATAATCTATGAGGCCAAACGCATTGCTGTGGAGAAAGGCATTCAGGATTTCACCGGATCACCATCATGGTGCTATAGATTTATGAAGAGATCTGGCCTTTCTATGCACACCAAAACCAGAATTGCACAAAAAATGCCAAAGGAATACTATCACACAAGTGTGTAAATGGGTTAAAAGGTCATGGGACTCCATAATGAAAGACATTGTTGTAAAATCATTCAAGAAGTGTGGCATTAGTAATGCCTTGGATGGAACAGAAGACATCGTCTTATTTGACACCAGTGAGGAAGAAAGTGATGACAATGACTGCGTGGATCTGTCCTTCCTCATTTCTGATAGCAGCGAAGAAGAGGAATTCTTGGGGTTAGAAAAAAACATGACAGCCTTATTTTTGTTATACTTTCACTGTTTTGCTGACTGTTTTATGAGAGTAAAGATAGCTCTTAGTATGTTACATGGTTGACATAAAATTTTCTTAAACTGCTGTTAACTTTATAAGTTGATATAAAATATTTTACTACAGAATTTGGTTTCATAATCTTTTTTTTTTTTTTTTTTTTTCTAGATTTGCCTCCTTTAAAATTGGGTGCGTTTTATATGCCGGTGCCTCTTATACGGCAAAAAATACGGTATATACCCTTTCCAAAGATGAACATTTCACCTATAAAATAAATAAAATATCCAAAAACTTTTACCTCTAAATTATCTATTATATTATAAACGTCACCAATGAATTCATACCTCAAACATTACAAATACTTAGTGTCAAATATTTAAATTACTTCCATGCACGTTTACTTCAACTGAAACGTATACAAAATTCCTACAAACATAAAATTCACAAAATAACTATCATTTAATTAAAATATAATTAAATTCAAAAACACTACTTAAAATATAAAAATCATTGCTAATAACAATTTTCCAATAATACCATATTATTTTATTTACTCCTTACATATAGAACAATACATAAAAATAATATCCTCAAATAATTAAAAATACTAACTTACCTAATCTTCTTCAGAATCTTGATTACGTGTCCGATAAACTTTTCTTATTTCCTCCGCTAAATAAAAAGCAAGCGTATGTGTGTCTGTTTCAGGATCTTTAAAATCATACTTATAGTTCACAGCAAGGTACCAGGTAAAATAAATAACTTAATAAAACATCTTTACTTCTATCTCGCACAACCTTAAAAAAAACACTTATTACTACCCCTTTAAATCCCAATAAATACCCATTTCGAATTCACTTTAGTTAGGGCCACGGGATCCAAAAATTAACGAACACTGTTTCACACAACACAGAATAAAGCTAAATACAAAATTTCCAGATTTTTTCCCGATTTCCCCCCTTTTCTGATTAAAGAACTGTAATTCGTCCATTAATGTCACATGACATATCTCATGATCTCTCATTTCCCTCACACAAAATAATGCGTAATCGGAACTGAGTACTTCTCACATTATAACCAATGTCCTAGGTAGTAACCTTTATCGCCTCCAAAATGTCGCCAAACTACCAGTTACCATATTCCAAAGATCAGCCGAATATTTATATTAATAATCAAACTGAAATTTAAGATATATAAAGGCGAGATTTTTTTCAGAAAGCATTTGGAGGTATAAAAGTATATAATTTTGAATAGTGAATAACAGAATTTCAGATTTTTCAAAATTGCTTAGATTTTAACATTTCTATCTAATCGTAATTGAAAGGGATTATTTCTTGTACAAGTTTATTATAAATAATTCTTTACTTATTATTATTATTATTATTATTATTATTATTTTGGTTATAATTTCTAAGTTATGAATAACGCATGCTCTGACAGTCGTATAATGAAAGAAAAATCATGCTAACGTCCTGGTGGCACATCATGTAGCATATATGAGATTTCAAAATGATGAGTGTACAGCAATAGGCATATTGTATTTTTAGAATATGCAAAATGTTTATTCATAGTTACCATGCAACATGTATTTCAGGACAGTAGAATTAGGATCCTGGGATTATTTCTTCAAATGAAATATAGTTATATATTTTTACTTAATGAGGCACAGTGAAATATATCACTACCATGAATGATGAGCTCTCATATTATTGGATTGGGGTGAGTGAATTGATGAGGACTTAAGATGATCACCAAACTCTCATAATGATATTTCAGTTATTTTTTCTTGTTCAGGGATACAGTAAAGATAATGCTTACATGTCCAGACTGCCAGTAACATGTGAAGAGCTTCAGGGTTGCATTACAGTTGTTTTAGAAACCATCGTAGGGAAATGTCAGCATCTGGGCAGAATTGGGATATTTCTTGGACTTGTGTTGTATAACAAGAACAACACTTATCAAACATTTGTAGTATTATTAGTGAAATTTGAAAGACCTTTTATGTCATTTCATGCATTCATTTTCTATTTACAATACTTTACTAATGCAACATTACTAAAACATTCCCAAAAGTGAAGAATCACTCTTTGACTTCAAGTCATTCATCTGATAATCAGTAAAATTATTTTCTTTAATAAATGAAAAATTTCATGATCACTTTGAACTAGCAACAAAGACTTTTCAGTTGCGCATAGTGTAAAAGGTGACTGTAAATGGCATGTGTTTTCTCAAATGCATAAAATGCTAATGAATTGAAAGAAATATCAAATTTTGGTTAAATTGTATTTCACTGTACACCTTGGTGATTTTTGGCACCATTCCTGTTTATGTTCAATGCCCTCTCAAGTGAAATGGCATCCAAAATATAATTAAAACAAAAAATATATAATCCCAATAAACTTCATTTTGAATCAAACAGCAAAATAACATAAGAATGGAAATACATGTTATGTAATCTACGCAATGCAAAAAGGAAATATCGACTTACTTTATTTAAAAATTTCTATTTCTTTGATATATGAGGAACACAAAATTCCTTAACAGAGCATCTAAAAGCTATTTAAAATTATCTAAACTAGAATCTGTATACTGCTGTCGTCACATAAACTCACAAAAGTAAAAATGAAAAATATTCTCCGTACTGCCGGACTGACAATGGCATTTCTTTCGAAAATCCCTTTTTATTACACCCCATATGCCTTCCATGGCGTTGATACGAGCTCCGATTTCCAAGTCCTTAAATCTCGATGCGTAATTTACAGAGAGGCGAGAGAAGCCATTTAATCATCATTTACATACCAGTCAATCAATGTTTTCTTTCCCAGTCATTCAAAAGTGTACAGAAATTTCAGGTTAATCATACCACCAGCAGACATTTTATGGTATAAAACACAAAATAAGCAATGTACTTCCTAACCAACATCCAACACATAGATAAGTCTTTACAAATATTTTCCTATCAGTCAAATTCACTGCAGTCACGCAACCAATCATGTCACAGTAAGGTTTTCATAACATTCAACTACTCAGGTTTTCGTAAATGAAACAACAACTTACAATCCAAGAGGTAAACATTTCTTTCAATATAAGTTGTTTAACTTGCTTTGTTTCTTTGTTCTAATACTTTCTCTTCAATTCTGTAGACAGACACAATCTCTTGTTTAGTTACATTGTTGAAGTTCTGTAACTGTCATTTGGAGAATTCCGACTAACTTGTCAATCAAAATTTTTTCATTTTCAGTAGCTCCTCTGTCCTTTTCTTCACTCATGGTAGTGGTATTTTTTGGATCTAGAACCATGCTACAGATTTCGCCATTCATTAATTGATTGATGATTGAGAAGCACTGTCATCACAATGAAAAACTTCTTTTATATCATCTTCATTTATTACCACTTCTCCTTATTTCTTTACAAAATCCGTTAATTGGAAAATTTCACCTTTGTTTTGCGATATCCAAAAACCTCAGCCATCATCATCACATTTAACTATCTTTCACTATACATATTTGGCTATACACCATGAACTTTGAGACTAATGACAAGTTGTTCCATTAAATTTGATCTTGCTTCTGTCGCACACTGAGACAATTAAGCCTGAATTGTATTAGTTATTTATTACTTTCTTGCACATGCTTAAGGCTTATCAGAGTTCTGAATAAATAAATTCCCACATATACGGGCTTCTCACAGCCTTATTGAGGGCCGGCGCTAGATATCGTATCGCCTGTCTGCGACTCGATGTGGCCATACGAGCCCAGGCGCTGGTTTGGAGTTTATGTGAATAACAATTCAGTTATTCTTAATTCAAATAGCCCTAAATGTAATATTTGGGTCTATGAGTATCAGCAACAAAATCTTTCCTCATCAACAATTTTTAGCGCATTTAACTTAGATCTGTAATCATCGTCAAGCAATAAAAATGCTCATCATCAACATAAAAGGTTACCATACTCCTTTATTATTCAGTTACTAACATAAAAAATTGTTTAGGCATCGCTACATGAGTCATTACTCAAGTTGTCATATTTTGATAAACATGCGTTGATGAAAGGAAAATATAATAAATAATGATTCGTCAGGTAGGTGTCAGATCAACGATGTATCTATGTGGAATTTTGGGTTTGAGATGTGTGCCAAGCACATACACAGCAACGGAGCCAAATTACTGATGGTACAAATTTATTCTGAAATGATTGTTTGTTCAATAACAAGGTATTTATTTAATATCGAAGTGAAATTAAGAATCGGGACTCTCCGGATGTTTTATTATGCGCGGAGGGGGGGGGGAATCAAATGCACATGCGTAAAGCCTTCGAGAAAAACTTTGTTGGGGGTTTTGAGGTCCAGATTTTAGATCATTCCAGATAATGGACGTCCGGATTTTGGACTTTGTACTGTAATTTTGATTGTGTAGAGTTCATTGAACTTGTTGTTAGAGTTAACATTTGAATATAAAATTAATTTTTTTAACATATTAATCCTTTTTTTGGTTCTTTTATAGTCCTCAAGTTGAATACTGTGGATATTCGCTTCCTCACCCATCCATATGTGAAATAAATTTCAGAATTCAAACATACGGTAAGTTTGTTTTATGTAATATTTAATTATATGCTTGAAATATTTTTAAAATTGAAACAGATATACCAAATATGGTTATGCTTTTTTAATCACTTTAAGCTAATAAACCATGAGGATTTTCATGATACGGTCCTCTAGAACAGTAGCTGTCAGAAGTACAGTAATGATGAAATTTTTGGTTAGTTAGAAAAAGTTTTGAAGTCTTTCTTGTATTATAATTGTTCTTTTCCTTCTAGATCTCTTCATCTCTCCCTCCCCTCATTTTGCTAATGCATGTAAGGTGTGATTGATCTTATTGTCAAATGATGAAGAATCTGTTTGTTTATATGTTCCTAGCATTGTGGTAAAAGGGCAGCATTTAGAGCCACCAAATTTTCAACACATGTACCGAACATGTGCACCTCAAAGCCCAAATTTTTAATTTGTAATTGTTTATTTCATATTTTGTGCAAATGTAATAACATTCTGATTAACAAACCCGACAATTTAAAAGCAGTACGCTGCCACTCAAACATAAGATATTCATATTTCAAACTTAATCAGGAAACTCAGCTGGTTAAAAAGAAAGGTACTTTTCCCGTTTTGCCGGCACAAATGATAAAGTCGCCAATAATGACGGTGAATGATAATAATGACGATGTGTCTGATGCCAAACGGAATATCTTCGCTGGTAACCTTTTACACTTCATTTTCAGAATAAGTCGCAGCCATTTCTTATCAGATTGATCGTTTCTTTCAATACTGGCATAATACAATATTAGTATATAGAATTTTTACTTAGAAAGTTAAATTTTATGTCCTAATACCATTCGCGGTAATTAAGTCAATTAGGATGCAATCACACCACTCACCCGAAGGCGAAATATAGAAAAGGCAAAATTAAGGGTAAAATTCATCAATTCTAATGAGAATGCACTAGAGAAGTAAATCAATGCGGTTTTACATAATTTCTGAGTAAGCTATTTGTACGAATTGAAATAATTCTTGCATTTAATTTTGTATTGTATATTAAGATATAATTCTATAATTTTATATTAAGATTTGACTTGAAATTAATATAGAGAATTACTGAGAGAATTAGTTTTTTGTAGCATAGTTTACGCGAGATGAGATCACTTGGGGTCACTTGATACGAACTGGCAAATCAGGATGTTGAACCATGAAAGCATAGTAAATTTTAAATTAATGTCTTTTTACAAATTTTATTGTCTTTGTTTACTGGCTTTTTACAAAATTTTAAACCATATTAAAATGTTTATGCCTTCAAAATAAAAATTCTTAGAACTAATATTTGCTAACATTTTTTAAATGTATACTGTATGCTGTCGCCAACAAAGTCTGCTTGGCAAGATTTGCACCGGCGAAACGGAAAAGTACCCCCAAAAATGTGTTTATAGTAGGCAAATTAACCCTAGTATATTAATTCAACAAGGAGATAAATAGATTTAACGGAAATGTGTTGCTACTCTCCAAAAGAAGATACTTTTGTGATCCATATATATACCAGTAGTGTTGCCATTCTGCAAATCATAAGATATTTAATTTTTCTTTCAATTTAATCTGTTATTGTTTAAGAAACAAAGCAATATAAAAGCTATAAGTGCAATTTTTCACCTGTATTGTTATTAATTATTGTATATTTCTGAATATAAGCTGAGAGTGAGGTTTATTTATTTATTTATTTATTTATTTATTTCAAAAATTTTCCTAAAATTTAAAATTTGCATATAAGACAAATTAAGACGAAAATTTCCTGTAGCATTCAAAATGAAAATGTTGCCAAACAGGTAAAATATGTGAATTATTTTCCAGTCAAATAGCTATAAACAGAATCAAAAAATAATAGTTTTAACTTTGGTAACCCTGTCTGAAGCTAGCATATGGTTTTTTCTTTTTCCCCCCCCCCATTTATATGTTGTTTTGTACACTCACTACCTGTGGTTTCTGTGTTAGTCTTAATTTCTGTGCCATTTCATTTTTATCTGAAAGATGAGTGGGAAGAGAAATTTCAAACTATAAGTGATCTTGTTTTATGAAAATTCTAACAGTATCGCTGCTAAGCATTTCTCAATGAAAAACAAGTTCGAGAATGGAAAAAGTGGAATGCAAATTTCATCAATATCAGATTTTTTTTGTGTTGTGACGGTGTACCAAACCAGCATTTTAAACAGTTTCAATATTAAAACAACACATTTTTATAAAACAAATGTCTATTTTTATTTTAAAAGTTTTTCATAAGTTTACATAAACTTTAAAAAAAAAAAAATGCAACATTTAGCAATGATCACTTCCTCCCGTGTAATGGAAAATTACCTGTTTTTTTTTGCAAGGTTAGTGGATTTGTATGTAAGCTGACCCCCCCCCCTAATTTAGCATCAGAAAAAGTTCCAAAAATTCTTGGCTTATATACAAAAATATATGGTGCTAGTTGGACATGTGATTAAAAGCATTACTTTTTTTTTTGTGTGTGTGTGTGTGTGCGTGCGTGCGTGCTTTAAGAGGCTGGCTGTGCAGGTGGCTTGTTACAACTGTGTGCATCTAGGTTGCCATACTAAAATCTTTTAGAAAAACTTTAACGTGATGAGCCATCTCTCTCAATTTAAGAGCATCCACATAATGGAGCCTGAAACTATTTTGTACAAACATTTATTAAGTGATTTATTCAAGATCAGAAGACTAAACTGAATTCTTGATAGTTTATATTGGTTAATAAAAAAACACAGATAATTTAAAAAATTACTTAGTAAAATTGTCACTAATACACTCATAATTTAACTTTAAAGAATTTTAAATGAGCAACATAAAATGTGTGGTTTAAATTAAGAGTTTGGTTAAAATATTAAAATTTACAATTATTAGCCCAAAAGGGCTATTATTCTTGAAACACAGTTTTGGTTTGATTTATTTTAATATCTTGTTTCACTTTTTGTTAGAATATGTTAGTAAAATTCAAGATATTTGTCCTTCAGATTTAATCTGCCTTGTCATTGACTAACAAACTAAACTATTTAAAAGCAACAGGTGCAGTTCTTAAAAATATTCTTTTACTTTTTAATCGGATTGGTTTAAATGAAAATGCATTTAATTCATGATATATAGTTTTTCCACTTTTCAAATATGCAGAAGATATATAATGTTTCTATGGTAATATCCAAATGTATATTCAGTAAAATGTTTTTGCTATTAAACCTTGGCCATCCCTGTTGATAATCTCTACTGATAAACTAATTAAACTTTAAAAGAACCTTTTGGATAACTGTTAAAATCTGAATGCTTTCAGAATTGTTTTTAAAACTTTAGTGTTTTTTTTCCTTCCCCCCTACCTTGTGAAAAACAATGACATCCTTAAAATCAAATTTGATTCACAAGATTCCCTAAAATGAAAGTACTTCCAGCTTCTTCACATATTTGAATTTTTTTCTTTTTTAAAACATTACCAAAAATTTCAAATATAGTAAGGTATCTTCTAATAACCTTTCATGTTCTGATTTTTTTTTATTTTTTTATTTATTTTTTTTTTTTTTTTTTAAATTTTCAAATTAGAAGTAATGATAGTAGTAATGATTTTTTAAAATATCTTCATTAAAATAATTTTAAGTTATATATTTCTATTTCTGATGCTTAAATTAAACATGAACATTTTGAGGAGTTAATTTTCAAACAAAGGCATATTTTAAATACAAAGTATAGTTCAAAAACCACACTAACCAAAAGAGTGAGGGGGGAGGTATAACATTGAATTAGTAAGTTGGAAAATTTCAGTTTTTTCCAAGTCAACTGTTTTTGTGCTGTTGGTATGTAAAGGTAAATACATATTTCTTCATGCAAAAAAAGTAGTCAGTATATGAGATGTGACACACACACAAGAAAAAAAGAGACTGGTCCAATAAAATCATTGTAATTACAGAATCAGATCTCCGTGACATTATTACCTTCAAAGTAGTCCCCTTGAGCATTTATACGCTTCTGCATTCTATGCTGCCATTGCTGGTAATACTTCTGGAACGGAGTTTTTGCAAGGCCTTTCAGGAAATTCTCCGTTTTTGCATGAACCTCTTCAACTGAGGTAAAATGGCTTCCCTTTAAGCAAGATTTAACTTTAGGAAATAAAAAAAAGTCGCATGAAGCCAAATCAGGTGAATAAGGAGGATTCCCTTTCACAGTAATGTTTTTGCTGGTCAGAAACTGCTCGACAGATAGGGTGCAACAACCATCCATCACTTCACAACTGTGGCTATTTTTCCCTAACTTTTCCAGTACTTTAATGTAATAGTATTGATTAACAGTTAACTGGGAACCCACTCAAACACTACAGTTCAATAAATATTGAAGAAGACTGTTAACATTGCCATGAATTTTGATTTTGACATGCTTGCTTTGTCCCTTCTCCCTGAAAACCACTTATGCCATTGAAACACGAGTGCACGAGACATATTCATCTCCATAAACCTCGGTTAACGTTTGAAATGTTTCCGTGGCTGATTTCTTAAGTTTCACAAAAAACTTAATATGGATTTGCTGTTCAGATTTTACATTAGACATTTTTTCTGGCAGAATGCAGTTGCACATGTTCACTCGATGACGCAGTACTCCCGACTGGTGTGATCGGTTTAATCGAAGCTGGCCGCATGTATAGAGGAGATATGTGGGATGACGTCACCAGTTGTTGCCAACTCCACTCTTTTTTCAAGCTGCACACTTACTTTTGTGTGTGTGTGTCTCACACCTCATATTGCATGCAAAAATAATGAAATTTAAAATCTGTTTAGAGTATTCATTACTTTCAAAAAATTCATTCCACCACTTATGCCAAATGAAGGCAGTGGCACCCAGAGGTGATTTTGAGCCCCAATAATGATAAAACCTGTCACATGTGAGTGATTCAGTTTTAGCCAGTAACGATTAAACAGGCTACATGTGATTTAGTGTAATCTTAATAAGAGTTTCTCTCTAGCTTTCACAGTAATGTCACTGTTTTAAATCTCATTATAGCTCTGTGTTGGAAAATATGTTAAAAATTCAAGATTTACCAAACACAGAAACAATATCTTTCTTTCAAAAGTATAAAATCTTCCCATTATCCAAAAAATTCATTAATGGCCGCAATATGGCATTTTATTTTAAAATGCAAATTCAATGGCGTTGTAATACTGAGAATTTTCAGATCCACATATCCGTTCCGAAAGAAACTTGGTTTGAGGGAGCCATTTCATTTGTGACTGCACTAATATTCATTTACTGCTGCCATAGAGAATTGACTAGTATTGAATAGGGAAAAGAAGAATTAGAGTTGACTTACTAGACTGTTATCAATTGGAACAATTATTTAAGAAAAGTTTGCACACACTGTCTTTTAATAAGGTCAAACAAAAAAAAATCGGAGGGCCAAACTTAAATGTCTAAATTGATGAGAACCTTTTCTGTAAACGTAAAAGTCATGCAGGGAGAATAACTCTTGAGCAGTGGTCGTTTGGAGGTATTTGCAAGGATGCAACAAGTGTTATGGCAAAAGTTCCAAATAGTGCGGCAATAGTGGATATGCAAACGATAAGATAATATTGAAGCAGGTTCTACAATATACTTGGACTCGTGGAAAGCTTATAAAAGTAACGAAATAAGAGCTGCTGATTTTAAACATTTCAAAGTTTATCCTTAGTATAACTTTGTAAATCTGGACACTGGGGTACATGCACAAAACACAGCGAAAGTGGGGTTCAGCCAGATGCCGGAATAAAAGACAATGTGGGACAGAACAATGCCACTTAGATTTTTACATGAATATATCCGTATGGCATCGTCTTCACAAAGAAAAAGACATATTTGTTTCTGCTTTGCATGCAATTGCAGATTGCCTCCAAAACTATCTGCGGCAGTGAGTTTTGACGAATTTTTGCCAACTTTTACGGTCGACTGGATTTTTCAATGTACCGAATTTTTAATTATCAGTGTGCATACAGGGATAGGTTGTTAAATGTGAATTTACTTTTAAAAAGAAAGGTCATTGGTTTCAATAAATTACAGTGGGATTCCTTGGTTGCCAAGTATGCATACTTGGCAACCAAGGGTTATGTAGATTAGTTAATCTGTAGACTGTAGGTTATGTTTTTCTGAGTTTTGATGTTGCCAAGGGCCTTCAGGAGAATTTCTGCCCATATCATTAGTTCTAGCTATGCTATTTTGACAAATTAAACATTTTTTTTAATCCTATGCCCATCCGCAGCACTTCTGCCCTTAAGCGAAGAGCAGCCCAGTAAAATGAAGAATTAAAACCAGCATCAAAAGAGTTATTATTAAAAAAACTTTAAAACAACAGTGCAGTTCTTGAGATGGTCGCCATCCATGTCACCCTGGTGACATAAAGGGCAACAAGTTGAATCCTTAATTCCAACATAAATGCCTTTGTAAATAATCATGTGCATTTGAAAACAAGCAACTCCGACAGATTGAGGCGAAGAATTGGAAATTTTATTTTTTATTTTTTTTTTTTTTTTTTTTTTTTTTTTTTTTTTTTTTTTTTTTTGTTAAGCAGGATGTTTCACCTCTTACCCACAGCTACATTTCTGTGTAGAGACATTCTATTATTCTTAATTTTATTGTTTCCTTTTAATGTTATGCAAAGGCAGAGGAGAATCAGGTTGAGTCATTAGAGAACCAGCTTTAACAAGTCTATCAGCCACCTCATTACCAAAATGAAACAATGTGCTCGGAATTTAAACATTGTTGAATCTAGAATCACGACCTGACAAACTGTGTATGAAATGAGCACTTACAAAATAAGATTCTGTAATATACAAAGACAAGAATGCAATCAAACATATTCAGATATTTTCAGAAAATTGCATTATTAAGGAAAAGTTATTGATGAGAAAGATGTACATGAAAATTAACTTTTCTTCTTGACAGCAAGCCTATCCCTATATAATCTAAAACAGCTACAGTACAAAGTCTTTCATCCGAACTTCGGCGATTCCGGATTAGGGTTTTTTTTCCTGATTATAGATCATCAATTTAAACCTGGTAAGATGGCATGCAGAAATTATAAAATTAAAAATATGAAACCATAATTTATGAAATAAAGAGCAATTATGATCTAAAGGGTATCAAAATTTACAAAAAAAAAAAAAAAGTTTAATATTTACTTTATTAAACATTTCTTTCAATGTAAGTTGTTTAAGTTGCTTCATTTTATGTGCTAATACTTTCTCTTTAATTCTATAAACAGACATAATTTCTTGTTCAGTTACAAAGTTCTGCTGTTCAAGTCCCGTAATTGCTGTGCCGAGAATACCGACTAAATTGTCAATTGAAATTTTTTCGTTTTCACTAACCTCTCCGTCAGTTTCTTCATGCCTTTATCCATTTTTTGCAACAATTCCACTTTTTGTTTGATGGCCATCGAAACATGCTTTCGCTTTGTAGATCCTTTGGCAGCTCCAGAATCGGAAACTCTTTTTGACATAATCTAAAGTTCAAGCTTACTTTTTATAAAATTGCTCTAACAGTCTGCAAAAAATAATAAGCTGGATCCAATTAGAAGATCTGCAACATTGACTGAAATAGATAATTAGATAATTTTAGCTTAGCTTATACCATCCGTTATACATTAAACACGTATGCATAAACATATTATGCGCAGGCGTAAAAGTATTACGCGCATGTGTGGACGCATGCGCAGAAAGTTTGTAGCTTTGAGATCCGGATTCTATAGATCATTCCGGATTATGGACGTCCAGATTAAAGACTTTGTACTGTATTTCCCGATTTAGATAAATGTGGTTCACTTGTATCTTTGTTTCAATATATTTAGAATTTAAATACTACTTTAACATCATCTAGAGTTGTCGCATTTTCATGGGAAAAAAAATTCTCCAATAATTACTGCACCATTAACCATTTATCGTGCTAATATTAGTATTACACCAGCCAAAGTTAAGCAAAAATCTGTTTTAACTTTTGTACTTGATGTTGAATTTAAGCGTAATAGAAACCTGAAGCATGTTTTAATTCTGTTTATATTGTACTGACTAGTGTGTACTTTTCAGTATTGCTAACCTGTTTTCTCATTTTGTTTTTGATTTATTTAGATTTAGATTCCAGTAATATGTATTAGAATTGCAAATAAGTTTTTATTGAGAATTCTTTGAAATACTTAAATAAATTACTTTTCAAATACTTTTAGGAGTACCAGCAGTAGAAGTTCTTAAAAAAGGTTTAGAAGATTTACTTAGTTTGTGTGATCATATCAAAAGTACATTCGATGTAAGTTGTTTTTATCAATATACTTTTGACTTAATATGGACTTATATTGTGACCTTCGAGAAACAAAGACATCCAGAGCTCTCGTGGTCATCATGATTAGTGTGAAATAAATCTATTCCATTGTTTGGGAGCAAGTGATATCATTCGCTCACAACGCGTCTTCCCACTCTTCATAGTGATGTCACGAGAGAGATAGGTCTTGTTTCTCGAAGACCTTTGAAAAATAACGTTATGTCACCATGAAGAGTGTGAAGAAACCTATCTCATTTGCTGGGAGTAAGTGATATGATTCACTCCCAACATTTCTTTGCACTCTCCGCGGTTAGGAGGTCTAGATGGCCTATTTCTCAAGGGTCGTGCTTATACAAAAAATGGTACAAAAAGAAATTGCTACTTTTTAGAACTTTAATCCTTTCCAGCATGCTACCTTTTAAAGTCAGAGTTTTGATTTAAAAAAAAAAGGGGGGGTAGGCAGTCTAATTAGGCCTAGAGGAGTACACGAGTAAAATTTTGTGAAGATTACACTTATCGTTTTAATTCTGTGGATGTGCCCAAAGTGGCACACTGATTGAATAGAGCTTCAAAAAGAGTGCTGAAAGGAGCCTTGTTGTCAGTGAAACTGACCAATGAGATGCGAAGAAACAAAGAATACAGACTCTCAGTTGTCCTAGATTATCGGTGAGCCGGTCTGGGCACACATTGGGTTTGCCGTTTGATTTTAAGCAAGATTTCAAGGTAAAAATTTAAAACTAACATACAAAAAAATAACATAGAAATTTCTTTTATACCCTAAAAAAAATCTGGAAGATTTTTTTGAAAAATAAGGGTCTTAAAAAAACTAAACATGGCTAAAATATATGAACTGATTTGTGTTGAGCTGCTATCTACTATAAATAAAGAATGTTCAGAGTAACCTATAAATCCTTTTTATTTCAATTTTTCTGTGCATACAGAGGGAAGTTTTTAGGTGTGTCCACACCGGACACACTGTGCGGCAAAGGGTTAAATGAATAAATCATAATTTTATTATGCAGAGATGTAGTTTTTCTCAGCTGGATAAATAATTTGTTTCTTATAAATTTCTGTTTTGGAAATGTTATTACAAAAGAAATAGCAAATTAATGCTAGATGACTGTTTCTTACATGACAGCTGTAGCCATGAAAATTAACATTTTTGATGATGTATTTTTTTACCTGTTTTACAATAATATTTTTGTTTTTTATTGTAACTCTACATACTATACTGTAGCTATAATTCCTTTCATGTTTTATGATATCCTTTTATATTTTATATTGACATCAGTATATCCATTGGGTGCATTTGGTTTTTTGCTGCTCTTGAATAGTGGCTTAATTGAATCAGTGACATGTTGTACTGTAATTTCATATTGCATAGTATTTCGTAGACTATTATAGATTTTTTTGGAAAACAGGAATAAAACCAACAATATCTTATCCACAGGAACATAGTATAATAATAAAACTTGGGGGGGATGCTGTTATACATATATATGTGTGGTGCTTAATTGAGAAAATTTCTAGCATTTCATGCATTCTAATTTTCTAGGTGAGGTAAAGATATCTTGTCATTTGTATTTTGCTGATTTGCTTAAAATGGAATATCCTCTTATATTTATGCTTATATGAAACATGCCCCTAAAGGTAGCTACTGTTTAGTTTTTCTAGCTATTTTGAATTTTTATTTTTGTACCACCAGGGTAAAGAACATTTTTCATAAAGATCTTTTTTTTTATATAATTTCAGCATTTGTTTTAGTAAAATAGCTCAGCTGAGATAAATCAAAGCCTTAAATCTGCTCCCTGTCTTAGATATAGCTTTTTGAAGCTGTTAAAAAAACAGTTCTACAAAACTATGGTCTTTTTAACTTTCTAAAGAATCTCCTTTGCATGAAAAAAAAAAGCACTTAGTTCTTTTGTTTCTACCATAGTAATATTTGCTGCATCTTTTCAGTGTTTACAGAATAGTTAAACTTAAGATATGTTTAGTATCAGGGCCAAAATCACCACAGGATACAAGCTGTGCTAATCCTTTGGATGTGTTTAGTTAACTCGTGAGGAAATTCTATCTTTAAGTTGCAGTTTATGATAAATTTGTAGGAAGAAAAATGCAGGAATACTTTTTAGTACTACTAATAAGGTAACTAACTGCAGAATAATTATTAGCATTTTAGAATCTGCTCACTACCAATACCTGAAGTACTGCACTTCATTGCCAATATTAAATGCTGTGCAACATGAATCAGTGAACTAAAACATTTTCATTGGGGATTTCAATTTGTTGTTCTACCCTTTGAACCTATTGTATGCATTCTATTCTAAAACATTTTGTCTGAATATATAATTTGGGTGTGGAATTTGATTTGCGAGTTAATTTATTATTAAACAATAGCAGTATGACTTACCATTCTTTCTCTTCTGCAGCTCATCCTGTCTTTTGCAAATAGCTTTCAAATTAAATAATGCATTCTGACATTTTGTATATAGTGCTTAAAAAAGAAAGTCATATAGGATTCTGCACAATTTGACTACTGCAAATTACTACCAAGAAATTTAAAACTGATAAATTGTTCTCTCTAAGTCAGAGTGGCGGGAAGTTCAGTTTGGATGAACGCGTTTGCGTGTAGGCGTGAGAGGAATGCAAACAGCTGATTTTTTGGCACACAGACCAGCATGATGGAGTCCCATACAAACAGTTTGTGTTGAACTGTTCTCTCTAGCACTATTCCACTGATATCGCACAGTTATTGTCAAATATCAGGCTTGATGAATAGTTGTTACTCTTGGTTGACTTTGTATTGGTCATCGGGTAATGTCTCCGTACTATGAATCCTTTGCCACAATCTTCAGACCACAGGCAGAGGGACATTCAGAATTAGAGACACTTCTGTTAGAGATTGTCCATTCCAATAACTCTTCCTTTTGAAAACATGTCCATTTGGGATCTTTGTGCGATCCTTCAGCCTTTTTGCTTGTCTAACTCGCTCCTCAGTACGGCAGTTGTCTGATCTCTGTATAGCACGTAAAACTTGCGCTTGTTTCGCAACTGCCGACGTTGATTAAAATATTTTGCATGTGACTCTGACTTTCAAACAGTGATTTTTCACAAGCGATTTCGAACAATTTGATGTTCTTCCTATTCACTAGTATAGGTTATTTAACAAGTGATGGCTTCTTCAATAACATCCATTCTCACATTTTTAATTTCTCCTCTAATAATAATTGCAGCAATTAACTCGGATTGATAATTCAGATTAAGTAACTGATTTTGTAATTTTGTCACAGTTTATAGCAGCAATTATATCCATTATCACTTCAAAAAGATGTTTTTGATGACATTGATTCTTTATGCTTCATTTTCCAGAATAGTAAGAAAGTTAATCCTATAAAGATTCCAAATTCAATGCACTCGGTAAACAGCATAACCTGTTTACACAAAGTTATATAATTTGTCCCTAAAAGATGTAGGGATGCATCATGCTGGTCTGTGGTGGAATATATAATAATCTGTAAATGAAAGGAAATACAGTTGGTCATGTTATGCAATTTTGAATGTTTTGTTTATTTTTAGGATGCTTTGAATGAATATAAAGGTATAAAAACTGACAAAGGGGATGATATTGAGCGGATGCTGGCAGAAATGGATGCATAGTATTCCTTGTGTTTGACATCAAAAATTATTATCAATGTATGCTTGCTTTTGAAATTACTCTATTTACTTTGTGTAAAGATGAACTTTAAGGCACAATTTATAAAATTTCATACGAGTTAACGTATATCAAAGCTAAATTTTGTTTATATATAAATTAAATTATTAGAAAATATATTAAACCTCAAGCAGATGATACTGAGAGAATTAAATGAAAAACACTTTCAAGAAATATTGAAAAAAATAAAAAAATATAAAAACTTTAATTGTAAAATGCTTCGTAAAATTGTACAATAAAAATAAAATGAAATAAAAACTAGACAACTTGAAAAGCCACAATGATGACATAGAATGTAAACTAGATAAATGTACGAAAACCAATACAACTTATTGTAAAGGTTTTATGCATAATTTTTTAAGTAATCACACATAGGTCTCAAAATTATCAGTCCATAATGTATCACAAGTAGAACTAGTGATGTTACTAATTGTATCCTTAGTATGCTTCTTTATTTCTTCTTGCACTTCATTTAATTCTCTTTCCGTATTAATAACCTATTAGAAAATATATTAAAAATTATCCTCAATTAACAAAGGTTATGACAAAATAAAAATGTATATAATAAATAAATGTATCACATAGCAAAATAGGAAATAGTAAATAAATTTATATGAAAAATAGAAACAAAGTACCAGTTTGATAGCTATAGGAAGCAATCCGATTAAACTATTTGAATATGGTAAGTCTCCAAAGGATCTGCTTAAGAGGAGAAATGACTTTCTAAGGGAAACTGCCTAAACCCAATCGTGCAGCCAGCCCCTTCACCTATCTTCAAACCTAAGTTGGTTGGTTTGGTTTGGTTTGGTTTATTAGATTACAGCAAAGCACTCGAGGGCTGTCTGCCTTAAGGGAGGGATGCCTTCGTGGAGGACTTTTTAAGGGAAACTGGCTCGTATACACGTTACACATGAGGAAAACCATGAAAACAACCATGCAGCCAGCTCGTTCACGGGATTCGAACCTCGGACCGAACTACCAGTGTTCGGCGATGTTACCACTCGGCCGCTGGTGTCAAACCTAAGTTGAACAAGCAGTTTTTCAGTCATAGGTGGGATGTGGAAAGAAATCTGACTTTTACACTGGTCATCAAAATTAAAAGATGTGAAAAAATCTACTCCTAAGTTAATTATGCAACTAGTGCCCAGTGCTGTAATTATTTATGTTAATTAAATACAACTGAATACAAAACTGCACTTCCGCGCATACAATAGTGCCAGAAATAGGCTAATGCGGTGATTATTATTATTTAAAGTAAATGTGGTTTCTGAGAGTGATCAGTATTCAGTAGTTGTGGCTCAAAGCCATCATTTAAGTGAAAATCAAAAGTGGCAAATAAATAATTGATAGAATCGTGGGAGGTCAAACACAAATGGAGGTCACTAAAGATTTGAATATTCCTCAAAGTGTCATATCAAGAATTCGAAGCGACCTCGGCAGTCGAGAGACTGCCTGGTCGAAGGAACAGGTGCGGTAACTGCATCAGAAGACCATTTTCTGTCGTTGTTGCTGATTACAAGAGTACCACGAAGCAACTATAGGAGATCTGGTTTTAGACCTTCAGGCTGCCACAGGAACTCTAATTAGCCATTCTACTGCTGCACGAAGGCTTAACAAGGTTGGATTGCATGCAAGAAAACCGACGGTTTATGTTACACTTACTCAAGCTTTCAGACGAACCCATTTAAATTGGTGCCATCATGTTTAGTGAAGCCAAGATGACTGGGCCAGAGTACTGTTTATCTGACAAGTCCAATTACAGTCTGAACTATATTTGGACTGATAATTTATTCAATTTACAACTAAGGGTCCTTATTCTAGACATGTTTCATCTGGAGGGAGAAAGGAACATGTCACTTGATTTCCCATTTCTGTGACCACAGTTGCTTGCGGAGTCTTCGTGACGAATAGCCACACTGAGCTGCATATCTTTCAAGTAGGTTCTGTACCACTTTGAGATACGTGAATATTTTGGATTGGCCACCTTACTCACTTTACTTGAACCCAACTGAGCATGCCTTAAGGTACTAAATTTCAGCGCACTAAATACGTGCCCTGATTCTGAGTTGAAAAGTGCACTTTTATAAGAGAGGTGTGCAGTTCTGCATGACCTGATCAACACTTTGGTAGAGTTTATGAAATCAAGATGTGAGGTATGCATATCTGTCCAAGGTGACCATACACCATATTAAAGAAAGTTTTTCAACAACAGGTAACTTAATTTTACCATCATTTCCCAAATTCCAATATTTTGTGAATATGTGAATAATCAACTGCCATACATAATTTTTGTTAACTAATACTTTATGTACAAAATTTCTATTAATAATTTTTCATTAAGTATTTGTCAGTTAAATTTTATTTCTGTTATTAGCCATTAATTTAGATGACCAGTGTGAGCACAGCAACGCTTGGCCAATAGACTTTTCTCCAATGAAGTCACAGCTTCAGGAATGATTTATTTGAAATCATGTAATTCAAGAAAAGGCTGAAAACGTTTATCATATACATATAATAAAATCAGCAGGATCATTTTCTTAGTTTATTTTACAGTGGAACCTCGAGATACAAGTACCTCTGTATACGAGAAATTCAAGATACGAGGAAAGTATGAGCAAAAAATTCTCTAAATGTGAGCATTAACTCGAGTAATGAGCCAGGAAGTTGGTATGCATGGCGCCATTTCTCGATCCGGCTCGACTCTAGAAATCTCCTCGTCAGATCACTCAGTGTTCTTTGATATACGTGTTTGTGCGCAGTCAATTGTTTTTTACATTTAACATGAAAATAATTATTTCATGATGCCTTCCAAGAAGATAACCTCAGATTGTGCTACAAAGAAAAAGAAGGAAATTAAGAAAGAAATCATAGATAAACATAAGCATGGTGTAAGAGTGACGGATTAGTGAAGACTTACAGCCTTTCGACATCGATGATCTACACTATTCTGCAGAAGAAGGAAGAAATTAAGAAACTATGTGGCCATAGAAGTTAACATTACTTCCAAGTACCGTCCAAAACTCCTAGAAGCTATTGTGGTGTGGATTAACAAGCAGTTAAAAGGTCAATGTCAAAAGCTATATAGTAAAGAAAGCTATACTCAAAACTATGGTTATATTATTTACCTGTTAGAAAAATTGATTTTTATATTGATATTTTTGAGGGTGGGAAATGGATTAACTGGATTTTTCATTAATTTCAGTGGGGAAGTTTGTTTCTAGATACCAGAAATTCGTTACATGAGCTCAATGCTGGAACGAATTAAACTCGCATCTCGACATTCACTGTATTTAGTATTTATTTTCTAAGCCAGAAATAAAAGATAATTTATTTAATGCACAACTAAGGGTCCTTGTCTTTTCAAAATAGTCCTTTTACTATTATACTATTCTGTATGTAACACTGTTGGCTTTTCTGGAGGTCCTGAAGCAAGCAATGAAAAGTTCTCACCAGGATGTTCATCAGCATATCTTTATAATTTTTGGATAGCTGCAATCTATTCATGTCATTTCAGTATGATTTTCATATAGGACAACAGAAATTACAGATCAAGCAAATATGAAGGATATGAGGAAATAGAAGTATGCTGTTTGACCACATACTTTTATACTGTAGGGGGCTTTGCATTGTTACGCTATATAAATCATTACCCAGATGCCCACAAGTTAGGTTGGTGTAGTCCAATTGTTTGACACAAATGCTTTAGCATGTTAGAATTAAATTAAGATATTGATAAGTATAATCAATATTTATCGCATTATTTATATTATTTATTAGAATTATTAGCAATATTTTTATTATTTATTAGAAATGTCAATTTTCTATCAGTAGAGGACACTTTGCCATGATAGAAGACAGTTTCTTTGATGCTTTGACAGAGTTATGCAAAAATAGTTACTTGTTCATAGCAGAATCGCTAATCGATCAACTGTATTGTAATTTAGAAAATACTACTAAATTAGATAAAGCAACTTAAGTAACATACAATTTTATACTCTCTAGTATTTGCTAACATACATGCATACTACTAAATAATATAAACTAAGTATAATTCATGTTTCTTGTCATGAACTCTTCAAATTATTAAAATATCTAAAATGATTAAATTAAAAATCTTGGGTTGCCACACTGGATATATTGAAGTCAGGCCATGAGCTCTCACACTGTTTTTGATATTTGCCACTTCACATTCTTCGAGACCTGTACGACTTGGCCATTCAGCAGATATATCATTCCAGGGTCATAGTCAGAACACTAACTTTCATACTTGTAATAAAGCTCAATGTGAGAAATGCGAGATCATTTTCAGCAAGATACAATAATTTATGGCAACTGTTTTGCCTTCCTTCTCTGTGTATCTATATGCTAAAGATGAATTATAATTGTTTTTCCAAATCACTGGATACAATTTAATAATACACATTCCTGATTAAGTTCACCTGATAAAATCCCATTTCATAACATTTAGGAATTTTTGGAATGATCCTGAATGCTAACACAATGATGTTAGAATAATTTTAGGACCCATTCCACTCTTTATTTTGATTTAAAACCTCTCAGAGACTCAAGGGTGTAATATCATTTTCTTAATATTACAGACAAGGTTGCCACACTACCTGGAAAATTCAGAAAAATCATCTCTATGAAGATAAACTCAGAAATTTTTAAACAGTACAGCAATCTTTACAACAAATGCTGAATCATCAAATTTAAACTCCTTTGTAACTAAGGGCAATGCTTTAGCTGCTGAATTACTGTGGAGAATCAAACTTGTTTATTCACACTTTTTTTTTATACAGTCAAAAGTCGTTAATCCAGACTCGTCGGGACTTCGGCGATTCTGGATTATAGATCATCACTTTAAATCTGGTAATATGGCATGCAGAAATTATAAAATTAAAAATATGAAACCGTAATTTATGAAATAAAGAGCAATTATGATCTAAAGGGTATCAAAATTTACAAAAAACAAAAAAAGCTTAATATTTATTTGTTTACTTGAAGCGAATTATAATGACGAGGAATTTGATTTAAATCATATCAAAGATGGAGTACATCGAGATGAAATACTACATTTAGTAAGGAATTATAAGCCAAAAAAATAAAAACATCTGCACTGAAGATAAGGATAGTGCTGACAGATAAACTTCCAATTCATCGTGTGCCGAAGATTAAGGAACGCATGGAAATGGAATCTTCCAACAGGACAAGGCTCGAATTTTGTTGGAGTGGTTCGAGGACAGTAAGGATAGATTCCAGTTAATGTGCTGGCCAAACTTAATTCGATAGAGCACATTTGGAGTGTGATGAAGCAGCAGCTCAGAGCTCAAACACTACTATGTTGGAATATCTGGACTTTATGATGTAACCGCTTAGATATTTGGTACAACATGTCTCCAGTCATCTATCGAGAACTTGTGGCATCCATACTGAGTTGCAGCTGTTTGGCAGGCCAAAGGTCGTGTAATGAGTAGGTGGTTATAATGTTTTGACAGTATCAGTGTATGTATCCAATACTCCTGGGTATGTCAAACTCTACATCAAAAATATACATAAAACATGCTGTCTTAATACTGCAGAAATGCTTAAGAGAGACAAAATTTACTAGATGATTTTTACTTTCTTTTCTGAGTAACTTTTTACTTTAGCATTTAGAATAAACAAATTTTTAAAAGTCAAATTGTGATTTGTCAAGATCTGTAATAATTAGTAATATAATAAATTATTATAGTTACATTTATTTAGACATTATTATTATTTCTGTAACATTTTTATGTTATATTAGAATTAATTAAAATTTTTCTCATAAAATAGTTTCAAAAAGTTGTCTTTCTCCACAAAAAAAAAAAAAAAAAAAAAAAAGGCTGCACAATATTAACACTTGCACTTCTACTCTTTTCATCAGTGCTGCCAAAAAGTAAAAATTAAGTGAGTTTAACTAATGAATGATAATTTTAAGTTCTAAGAAGAAGTACTGGCAGTTTAACTATTAGCGTCGTATCAACCATATGCCTTCCAACTGTATAACTACACCGGTTTCAATGATTTATATTACTATAAACTCTGTATATTGTCTATAAATTGCCTATTCTATTAATCAGTCAAGATTGATTAAATTTGCCATATGCATTAAATTTATCTTATGCTTTACTAAATAGAAACATTGAGAATCTGATATGGGCAAAGGCACATAAAAAATAAAATCAAAGAATTTAAATGTTCTGCACCAGAATACAAGAGAACAATTGCATTTTACTTACCTTCCAGTTATCTTCACGTAATAGTCCATACACTTTTCTGACCTCATTTTGAAATTCTTCTTTCTCATATCTCTCTTCACCAAAACCACTTCTGGCAGCCATAGCTTCAGGTGACAGATCAAGATAAAGTACCAAGTCAGGTTTTGGCAAACCTACATCTGATTGTTTACACCATGAAAAATTTAAACCCTGAAAAAACAAGTTCATTTTTAAAATTTTGAAGTTCTTAATATGATTCATTTGTAATAAAAAGTGTAAATTATTCCAATAAAGGAGAAGTAAATTATATAGGTCAATAAGAATAACACAGAAGTAAGCTACCTGTCCAAGTTGAAACTTTGAAAGCAACAAAATAAATGTATTAATTTAATAAATATAAATTACAATTAATATTACAACTGCAATATTTACTGTTTAGAATGGAAATGAATTTTGTAACAACAAACATCTACATTTCTGCCATTATCCATTGATATTAAAAACATAAAAGCATAGAAAAGTAAAGATTATTCAAAAAGTAATTTTTTTTTAAATGAATCCAGGAAATTTTTTAGTTTTCAGAAAGTATAACATTTTTTTTTTTAAAGACATGGTTTATTACGAAAATTCAATTTATATTTATCATACAATCTATGGAATACAGTAAATCGTGGACAAACTGAAATTTTTAAAAGAAATATATCTTCATTAATATGCGTGTTACTTTTACGGAAATGCACATTTTACTCATTGCCCACAGCATGTAAAATAGTTTATAAAAACAGATCATTTCTTATTTTTTTTTTATACTAAAGGGTGATCAGAAGATTTTTAATAATTATTTTGTTGTAAATACATTCACGACTAAAACGTTCAAGCATGCTATTTACATGACCACAGTTACAAAACAAATCATTAAGTATTACTGTAAAACTGAAAATGTGTGTAAAATTTAAAGTGCATTTTGACTTTATAAATTTATATATATTTTAACTGAATATATATTTTTTTAACTGCCAAATTAGATAATTATACAACTAATTTTTTTTAATGCTGCATAATGGGTGGAATTATATGCAAAGTTTTGCTTATTCCTTAGGTATTAATTCAATTTCTAATATTAATGCAAATAAATTCACTACTTTATCAAAATTGCCTCCTCAGTTAAATTAACAACCTACATTTTGAAATAATCAACAAACTGTTTACTCTCCTCGGATTAAAAACTGCTGATTAGTTACTAATACATAATTGCATAAGAACAAAATGATGTAACTGTTTTGCGTTTGGTATACGAATTACAGTTTTTTACACTTTTACTGAATTCAATATATATAAACTATTGTAAATACATATGGTTTCGATTAATAAAATACAATGTTCTTTCAATTATTCATTATACCTCATTTGAATTATACATTAAATCCATACTCAAAATACTGATGATCATTTCAAAGTTATATAATTTGCAGAGTAGGCCACAAAACCTACAGTATTGTGGCCTTCGAAAATTACAGTATATGCAAAGAAATACTGGAAGAATAAGGAAATAAAAAATAGCCTACTTGCATATTTAGAGAAATACCTTTACAATATATAATAAATGGATTAGTTTTTAACTAATATGATTACATTGAAATTTTTTAAAAATTTAGGTATTATTACATGCAAGTAAAAATCATAAATGATAATTAATTATATACATATATTGTCACAATTAATATACAGTGAAACCTCCTTAAAATGATTTATTTACAACTCCAGATGACTTGATCTACCAAAGAACCTACTAAGAGAACATGAATGTGGAAGATGTTTACTACTGTTCTTTAATTGTGTTGCAAAAATACTAGCTCCTTTCAAACATAGCTGACACGAGAGGTTTTACTGTGTGTATATATATATATATATATAGCTTAAAATGTTTTCAAACTAAACTCTTACCTTTTTAGCATAAGAAAAAGCTACACCAGAATAAGCATAACGATCAACTATCAAACTGACACCAGAATTTAAAAGACGAAGCATTTTAGGGCTGCAAATAAGATTAAAAAAATAAGAATATTATTTTTAAATGCAGTCTGAATCATTCTAATATTAGAAAATGCCCAAACATGATAATGTTATGCAATTTTTAGAAAGAAAACACAAATGTATGTTATGCAAATAAATAAAATTACAGGCTAATCACATGAGCTGCATTTACAATATATGTACACAACAATCACATGAAGGTATTCAAGATATAGTAGCTAGAAATATGCATCTTTGCTGCTCTGTGTCAGGAAAACAAAAAAGGAGTATAATGCCTTTAAGGTCCCACTGCATGCAAATTTAATCCAATGGATTGATTTGTTTCCAAGAGGCTTCACTGTATTTTTTATACTACCAATTAGTTCTTAACCTTTTAACTGTCATGCCCGAGTATTTCTCGGGGTAATTTTTTTTTTTTTTTTGAGTGCATTGTATTGTCATACCCGAATATATATCGGGAGATGTTTATTTCGGCTACATTTGGTTTTTCCAATAAAAACATTTGACAATTTGTGTACCCAAATCATCAAAATAACTTGACAGTTAAAGGGTTAAACCATATTACAGAAAATATACAATGTGATGTCGCAATCATTGATTACTTTCAAAGGCAATATCCCAAGAAGGAAGTACACAGATCAGAACTTTGAAATGAACAGCAAATGGCATAGATCTTCGCATCAGTTGTCACGGCACAGCATACCCATAATACACAAAAAGCAGTATTTTGCAGTTAACAAATATCTATAATACTGGCATTAGCTGCTGCAGCAGATTTATTGCCTACCATCCACTGCAAAAATCACTGTAATAATAACTGGCTCACTGTGATGTTGCATCATTGTAATTATTTAGAATGGCATCACATCAAATTGTTATCATTTATGTCATTCAGACAATACATTTCACAGACCTGATGATGAATTTTTACTAGTACACATATCCTATGGTCAGGAAATGATTAATGGAATAATAGATTATTTTACAAATAGCTCAATCTTCTTAAACATGACATAAAATGCACACACTGACAACATGACCCACACTAGGTCTGTTTGTACGCAACTGATGGCGGGAGACACTTATGTGTATACAAAATTATGAATGTGTACAAAATATATATAGCCATACAATCATCATAAAAAACGAATCTCACATATACTTAGCAGAACACTGTTTTGAGTTAGATAAGCATAAAAAAGTGACTCCCTCTATCGAAAATTTGATTGAAAGCACAACTGGAAATGAGCTGTCATTTATTTTATTTATTGGATTATTACAGGATTAATAACAAAAGATAGCCAGTTTAATTTTATCTAAATAAAATGTCAGTGCTTATATTTTCACTACTTTAAATTAAATAAAAAAATTCTAAATATTGAACATGTATATGACAAACCAGAATTAGCTACAATTAATATACATTCATTTCAGTTGAAGTGAAAGACTCTCATCTTGATGGATGGTAGTTCAAGTCACTTCTGCTATAAACAGTTCTTACATGCATTAACTCTCAACTTTCACATATTCTGAAGCTTTGAAATTATTTTTACATCATTTTGTGTATATCATTAAAAGTTCACAAATAAATCAATTTTACAACTATCCATACAAATTATATAATCAAGGACTTAATTATTGGGTTTGGGCAAAGCATATTAAAGCTTTCACCCCAAGGGAGGGATACCTTTGCACGGGACACTCTATAACCATAGCTACATTCTACAGGAGAAAAAACAACCTCGTACAATCAACCAGTTAAATTGCTGGGAACAGATCTCAAGGTAAATTTATATTTTTCAATTTTTATATTCTGGCCAATGACTGGTATTTAACACCAGTTAATTGAGAGTAGATTACTCTTTTGTTTGAAAAGCTTAAGAAATAGCAGATACATTCATGCAAACATAAATTTAAATACACAATACTTATATCATATATTTCACAAAAAGATTCAATTCCTTTTTATATGTAATGAGGAAAAATAAACTTACACTTGTTCCCATCTATTAGCTGAAAATAATAAATGTATTGCATGATCTTCCAATTCTTGTGATCCTTCTAGGTATTTATCAATAATGTTTCCTATTACTGTAGAACGATCTGTAGAATTCAGAAAGAACACTTATTGATCCTTGTAAAATTAAATATAAATACACAGTAAAAGCATTTGCATAACTTTAGATTTGAGAATAATTCTTACATAATTATAAGTGTTACAGAATATTACTTAATTACCCAAGTGAAATTCTGTTAAAAAATAATTATATAAAACATATTTAATTCATTTCCTGAATTTAATGTAAAAACTATTTTGCAAACCTAATTAGATTCAATTCTTAATTTTTGAAAATGTAATAACTGAAATTATCCTAAAAACCAAGATATAATACTTCACAATTTGAGGAAAATGTGGTCATTTTTAGCTTCATATCTTTCATTCTTATATGTATTTTAAATGACATAAACATATAACAAGTACTTTAAATGTACTTTGTGTTTAACAATAAAATATCTGCAAACACAGCATATGAATTAAAAATATTACTGTGATGTTCTGATGAAAATGTACACTGGTTCATAATTTTTTCAGATATCAATGTTTTTTCAATTTATTTACACGAAATAATTGTTAAAAAACTCGGGTTCAAAATTTTTCTTCGCTATTATTTAATTTATTCAAAATCTGCTTGTTGGCAGAAAGAAAAATGTAAAAAAAAATTCCTTAAAATAATTTATTAAAAAAGTACTCAAAATGAACTCTCAGAGTATTCAGACACTTAGAATACACAGTTAGCATTTAATCAAAAATACAGAATATTTAATATGATGGCACGAATCCTAATTAACTGGATGGCATAAGCCAGAGGTTCCTAAACTTTTCCAAGTTGCTTTGTCTTTTTTCAACTGAAACTTTTCCATGCAGCCCTACCCCAAGTAAAAATATGAATAATCGTAAGTAAGAGGTAAAAACAAATTCATGTATCTTCGTTATTTAACTTTTATTTCACTTTATTAACATTAAATTAATAATTAATGTGATGGATGAGCCTGCAAATCGCTGCACATTTTCTCAAATCATGGAATTAAACCGGATATGGCTACCCTCATTTCATTTTTAACATTGATTTTTGCTATATACTTGCTTTTTACTACATGGACTGCCAAAAACTAGCTTCGCTCAAATACGACGTCGAAAATGGAATTCAAATCCCCTAAGCCTTATCACTTAGAAGGAGATATTCAACTTTTATTGAAATCCAAAATTCCGTCAATTCTATGCTGCCAAATTTTGCTTTCAAACTGTTGTTGCAAGATAACTTGATAAAATTATCTTCTTCCGCAGAAATAAATTCAAATAGATTCTAGTGTTAAATGGATCTTGAATCCATGCAAACCTATTTTCATTTTGAAAGTATTTCTCAAACCAGATAATTATCTGTGATAAGTGCATTTGAAATATAATTTTTATGTGAGAAAGATCAAGTTCATTTGACATCAAAAATTGCATTTCTATAGTTTCAGGCATAATTTAGAGAAATGATTAATGGATGAAGGCATGATAAACAATGAAGAAAATCAAAATAACTTAACTACACAACAATAAAGCTCAAAGCATTGGAAAAATTTCACACTGAAAATGAATAAAAAACAAACTATTTGCAACTAGAAAGCATTAAATCAGATAAGCAAAGCACAATATCAAAAAAGAAAAATTAAAATATGTAAACCACAAATCAAACTTAAAAAACTGGTAAGGTTTATAGCTTAGTTTTTGGTTTATTTCATGTACGATAAACATCCAATTCCTTGGTATTAGCCACAAGTGAACATTTAGAACATTGTTTTTAATTCATAACCACTACTTAAATGTACACTGTTCCACCCAATATCCATCACTTTGTAACATTAAAGATACTTGAAAACTTTAATGATTTTTGCAATACTTCTAATACTTTTAAAATTTTATATAATTAAATTTCTAATGTAACTCATAGTAGTAGCATTTTGCCATGTTCAGTTTAAACTTAGCATTTTCCAAATATTTTGCCGAATAATTAATAGTTTCAAACTGCAATTGCGATTCATTTTCATTAAAATCCAAAAATAAAACAGAAATCCATCATTTGCAAAAAATCTGAACAAAACTTTTGAGTGTCAAAATTATTATGGAAATTCACTTTTAGCAGTTTTTGAATAAATGAATTTATTTCAAAAAATGACATGAACATATTTTTTTACTACAAACGTACCAAAAACAGGTAAAAAACAGTATATGCGGATAAAAAACCTGAAGTTATTTCTGCAATACATTGGGTTGCAGTTTCCAACATATCCTTAGGATTATTGCAACAGATGAAACACAAAGAATGCCTAATATATTTGCAGACATGACTGCAAGTACAATCAACTCAAGCAGCAGGGGAGAAAACTGTCTTAACCACTAGAGTGAGGGAAGAAGTTATCTCACTGCTGGCAGATACAGCCACTGTACAAGAAGTACAATTTGAGGCAAGGTCAACACCTGTGCATCCTCATAGGCATATTAGGTATCATTCAACCAATCTGTTACTTGATGAATGTTACGAGGATTTTCTAATTTATTGTGTGCATGTATGATGTAAGCCATGCAGCTCATTAAATACACTTTTAAGTTTTTTGGCAGACTTACAGTAATATGGTGTCTTTTCTATTGGTTAGAGTTGAAGTGTAGATCAAAACTGAACTGCTTGAAAGAGCATTTTCTGTGCAAAAAGTTGTACAACTTACTCACACCAAAACTAAAGCCCTCATTGCCCCTATTCCTGATACATCTGATTAAGAATGAAAATGTGTAATAACTAATTTTTTAACAGCATTTGGAGATTCTGGGCCTAAAATCATTTCAAAGTATAGTATTCTGCATATATTAATCAGAACCATTTAACTGCTGGCTTTCGCCGATGACATTGATATCACTGGGCGATCAAAACGAACTGTCTTCGAGGCTTTTGTCTCACTTGAAAATACAGCAAGAAAGATGGGCCTAATCATTAACGAAGACAAAATAAAATTTCTGATTGCATCTAATAAAACTGTTGATTTATTCCCCTTGAAGATAAACAGTTATACCTTTGAAACTGTAAAACAATTTAAATACCTGGGGCACATTGATCAGAAGTTGCAATGATATAAAAATTGAAATAAAGACTAGAATATTTATGGCTAATAGATGTTACTATGGCCTTAAAAAACAACTTAAATCCAAGCTAATAAGCATAAAAACTAAATTAAATTTATATAAAACGTTAATTAAGGCTGTTGCCATTTACAGAAGTGAATGATGGATACTTAACAGAGCAGAGAAAGACCCGATTTCCACTTTTGAAAGAAAAATCCCAAGAAAGATCTTTGAACCAGTACAACAAAATGGTATGTGGAGAATTCTCTATAATCATGAACTATATTGGAAATATGGTGAAAATAATATTGTGAGAATCGTAAAGGCATCTCGTATCAGATGGCTGGGCCACGCGTTAAGATATGATGATGCATTTCCAACCAAAAAGATAACCTTTAGGGGATTGATGGAGTAAGACGAAAAGGAAGACCACCCACTAGATGGATAGATGATGTCGAGCAAGATTTGAGGTTAATTGGAGTTAACCGATGGAAGACTATTGTACTATATGGGGTCAGGTGGAGGAAACTTGGAGAGACAGCCTTGGCCTGTAACAGGCTGTGGAGCTTATAAAAAAGAAGCGTATATTAATATGATCTTTAGACTTAAAAAAGCCACTAAATATCACATGATTTGAAAGTTGTAGTAAATGCTGTTCCATTTACAATTCCCAAGTGAAGAAAATCAGTGGTTAAAAATTCGCTCAAAGGCTTTTTAAAGTTACTTGTTACATTTTAGGAGAATTTAAATTTGTTTTTTTAATTATTATTAATGGAGAATTTAAATACATTTTTTAATTATTATTATTATCATTATCATTAACCCTCTGACTGCTCAATTTGTGAACCGAAATCAATTCCAAATTTTTTTTTTGGGTGGGGGGCATATTTTAAATCTATATATATTGGAGAATTGAAAAATGCACTTTTTCTTTCTAGAAAATATGTATATAGATTTTTGTCATCAGAAACTAAGTTGACAGAATAAAAGAAGCATATATTAATATGATCTTTAGACTTAAAAAAGACACTAAATATCCCAATGATTTGAAAATTGTAGTAAATGCTGTTCCATTTACAATTCCCAAGTGAGGAAAATCAGTGGTTAAAAATTCGCTCAAAGGCTTTTTAAAGTTACTTGTCACATTTTAGGAGAATTTAAATTTGTTTTTTTTTAATTATTATTAATGGAGAATTTAAATACATTTTTTAATTATTATTATTATTATTATTAATCCTCTGACTGCTCAATTTGTGGACCGAAATCGCTTCCAAATTTTTTTTTTGAGGGGGGGGGGCATATTTTAAATCTATATATATTGGAGAATTGAAAAATGCACTTTCTCTTTCTAAAAAATATGTATATAGATTTTTGTCATGAGAAACTAAGTTGACAGAAAAACCGATTTCAGATGTTATCACCCAAAAAAAATCTTTTTTTTAAATAAATTTCAGTTGAATTACAGTTAATTTCTATTTATTGCAGAATATAAAAAAGTAAAATGCATAAAATTTAAGAAAATATAAAGCGCTGAGGGAAAAATACCTTAGAAATGCAGTTTAGTGTGAAAGAGTTCAAAACAGGGTTCAAGGCAAAGTCCAACTTCACAGTCTTTGCACCAAATTCAATAAATCTAATTAATAATTTTATTAAATAATAAAGATAATCGCTGAACGTTTTCTAGCAGCCATTTCTGTAAGAAAATATGAAGTTTGAGCACTAATACCACGTGCCTTTAGTGGACAACTAATGATATTTGTTGGCCCAAACGTAAACTAAACGCCTAATACTGTATATAATTTATTTCAATGGTTAAATGGGGAACAAACCGGATGTGCTCCTCAATAAAGGAAGAAAAACATATATGCCTGCGGAAATCGCGAGATGAGCAAATTAAGAAGATGAACCCATTCAAGAAGCAGCAAAAATAAGTGCCCATTCA